ATGCATTGCAATGCATCGCTGAATCGATTATTGTTGACACCCCTACTAATCATGGTGGCTATCTCCCTGAAGCACACTAACTAACAAAGATAACTTCCTGTTCTCTCAGACGCCTGGTTCTGGTACAGGTTCCTCTCTGTATAAAAGGTTGCTCTCCACTGTCACCATGTGCATCCCCAGCATGGCAGCTGTTTCCCCAGAACCAGGTGCCTTCTGGGATGATAAAGTCCAAGCAGTGTGAGTCTTACCCCGAGGAGGAGCCCTGGAGAGCGGCCGGGTCTGTGGGCGACTGGGGGGCTCGAGTTCTGGTGGGAGGGGGATGCCACTGAGGAGGTGCTGCTGAAGAAACCAGTGAGAGAAACAGACTCATTGAATTAGTTCAGATTCATTTCATCAGAACATCTGGTTCTGTTGAACCCTTTCAGTACTGCAGTCACAGACAATAAAGATTAGCATTAAACATGAAGCTGAAGTCATTAATAAACAATCATATCTTTACCTTGTCCTTTTTGCTCTTAGATTTCTTGATATCTGCAGGTTCAAGTATGGAGACTGGCAGGAGTCCGCTCTAAAAAAACAAACAACCCGAGATTAGAGCCAACCAGATGGACCAAAGATATAAAAATATATATAAAGTATATAGATTTATAGAACCCCAAAAGATTTGGGTTGAAAGTTGTTTTGTTTTTTCAACCAAGTAGTTTGTCTCTATAGTCCATAAAACAATATAAATAATATCAATGTAAACAAAAAACATCAATGGATTTATTTATGTTCTACTGCTTTTAATAATCAGTGTCTTAATTGATCTTAAACTGGTTTAAACATCTATACTTTCAAACATTTGGAAACACACATCAATTTAATGAGACCTTGTTTTATTGATCATATTATCAGCTCCCAACCAATAAACACCCAGTTTATAACTTTGAGTTCTGGTTGCTTGGAGCCTTCAAAAACACTAACATGCAGTCCTCATTAGTGGACATTGACCTTTATTCTTCATGAAGCTCCTACAGACAAGGTTTTGTGCTTTATGAATAAAATAAAATTAAAGTGAGGAAAGGAAGGATGGTTTCTTCCCAGATGAGTCCTCACCTGTCCATCATGGAAGACATTTATCATTCCGTCTCTGTCCTCCTCTCCAAATAAGAATACCATTGCTCCTCCAGGGACAGTTAGCTGTCCTGGACCCCGCGCCAAGTAGGGGGTTCGGGCACGCATGTATCGGGACCCCCTGACATAAAACACACAAACACACACCTGGTTTATGTTACTGAATGATTTAGTACTGAGGTAGCATCCTGTTTAAAGCTCAGGTCCATATCATCTATTCGGTCCAAGGACAACTTACTGAGGTCCGTCCGTCTTGGGTTCATAAAAACCAGGTTTCTGTGCAGAAAGCAGAGGTAGAACTTGAAGCTACTGACCGACAGGCTGAACATCATCGGGTTCAAAGACCAGAGGAAACTCACCTGCTGTCTCAGAGGTTCAAAGCCTCCAAAATCATCATTAGGAATCATAGAAGAAATCACCTGCAGATCACAGCAAGAACCAGTTAAAACTGCAGGTAGTCAAACTGTTCTAAAATCCCTTTTCCAAGTCTGTACATCAGTACTGTATCTGACATTCTGATCATTGAGAAAAAAAAGGGATTTCGTCAATAGTCGCTGAAGAAAAAACTAGTTTCTGAGAACCATACTGTGCTGCAAGTCAATGACTGAATGCAATCTGCTAGAATTCAATTGCACAGAGCAAGTACATCCATTGACTTGATGCAGTTAGCTGTATTTCAGTGCCTCAATACAATCTGCTGCAATTTAGTGACTTGATGCAATCTGCTTCAAGTCAATGTCCGGATTAAATTTCATGCAGGTCAAAGACTTGAAAAAATCTGCTCCACATTAATGATGAGGCAATCTGCTGCAATTCAGTGCCTTGATGCGATCTGCAGCAAGTCAATAACTCAATGCAACCAGCGTAAAGTCAGTGACAGTCATGCAGGTCGCTTTCTTGATGTAATCCGCTAAAATTCTTTGACTTGGTGCAGTTAGGTGTAATTCAGTTCCACAATGCGATCTGCTGCAAGGCATTGACGATCTAATCTGCTAAAAGTAAATGGCTTCATGCAATCTGTGCCAACTGCCAAGTCAACATCTTTATGCTATTAACCCGTTCTTTTCTCAATATCAATGCAGCTAATAAATACCTGCTTTGAATAGAACCCCTATAAAGACCCCCTCACAGGTTTCTGGGCTATCTAATATGAACACCCATCAGGCAGAAACAATGGCTGCCATATGGCTGTTATCCTACAGTGCTACAACTGTGATGTTTTTTTTTTTCTTTCTAGAAAATTCCAGAAACAATTAATACTGATGACAGATATTAAACAGTCAACGGCACCTTCGCCTTCCCCAGGAAGTCTCTTTGTTGCAGTTGGTCTATTTCCTGTTTCCTTGGTCGAAACACCGACCCCTCTGGTACCATCAGAGGTTCCAGGACCTCCTTCCGCTAGTTTCAAAGCACAAAGGAGTGACAGATTAGTTTAATCAATATACAATTCAAAACATTTAAAGCCAAGTTGTACCTGCTGTAGAAAACTCGACTTAGCCTAAAAATTTAAACAAGCACCCCTTCCAGGTCCGTCCCCCCACAGCTGCCATAAACAAGCCGGCTATTGAGCAGGGCTACTGATAACGAGAATATTTCTATTTTTTTTTTCAATACCTGACTGTATTGCCTCTCTAAAGTGTCTTGAGATGGCATATCTTGTGAATTGGCGCTATATAAGTAAACTGAACTGAATTTGATTGAAACATATGAAGGCTGGTTTCTCACATTTATCTGCAGTGAATCGTCTGTTTCTGTACACATTAGTGTTCAAAGGTATCATTAACAGTCCAGATGTGGAACTGGTTTAATTCCAGCCTTAGTCTTGAAGCATATGCTGCAATTATGCTGAGTTCCCTTTTATTTTGTAGAGTATGTATTATTTTGAAAGTCTGTTATGGTTTCATTTGAGGACAGCATTAGACTCTTCTGTAACACAAAACCCTTTTTCATATACTTATATTATATTATATTACATTATATTATCAGCATGACATATAAGTAGTGAATACTGAGATACTAATAACTGTCTCTTACTTTTTAATTTTCAGTCGTGTCTTTTATAAGAAGCAGCAGTTGGTTACTAAAAGCTGTTTAAATTGTTGCCCTTGGGTTTAACTCTATACTTCAATGATCTGTGGTGTGAAGTAAGTAGGATTTTATTTTGCAGAGTATTATTAGATTTTACTTTTACAACCTCACACAGATGTATTTTAAGCATTGGATTTGACCAATCTGCTTAAATCAAACTGTATTCTGTTTTAGGGTCAAACGTTACATAGTTATTTTGACTTTTGAATTTCAGCAATAATGTTAAGACCTATGCTGGGTTTATTTTTTATAGTCTAAAATAGTTGTGTTTTAATACAAGTTTGCACACATTCAAAATATTGAACCGACTTCTTTCTTCAAATAACAGTGTACTCTATTCTTAGTGTAATAGTAATAATTATTTAATTATTAATTTAATTATTATATAATTTAATATTATTATTAGTAATAATAATTACAGTTAACTACGGTGGCCCTGAGGTGCAAAACACAACACAAAAAGAGAAAACACAACGGCAAATCAGAAAACACAACACAGAAAAGGGAAAACACAACACAAATCAGTTTCTAGTAAGTCGGCTGAGGTCAAAACGCCCTGCTAGAAATTGATTAAAGGCCAAATGTGGTTGAAGAAAGGTGATTTTTGCCTAAAAAGGACTTGTTCTATTTAAAATAAGATGCTTCTGAATGAAATCAAGTCATATTTGGGCAGATATCCCCTTTGAATGACAGTATTTGGGCTTTAATACATTGTTTGCAAGTCAAAATGGCTATTTTGTGTTGTAATGGTTCTTTAAAAGAGTTCCAAGCTGTTTTGTGAGCTCAGATCTTTAAATCATGCATCTCCTGAAGGAAATCTAGTCATATTTAGGTAGAAATAACCTTTGAGTGACTATACTGTGCCTTCAATCAATTTTTGACAGGTGAAAACTGATTGAAAACTGCAAAACACATAGAAACATGGGAAACTCGTGCTATATATGGCCAGATCAGATAAAAAACAATGCAGAGTCACGAGGATCGTTGCAAAAGGTATCATATCTTTATTGAAAACCCTCCAGTCAATCATATCTATTGTAGTGTAGTCTCCAATGTCAGGGCTACACAAAGTCATCAGACCGAGTATAGAAACATGTCTATCACGTAACTGCCGTTATGTGACAAACGTTAAGCTTTCGAATCTTTAATTAGGCCTATATTATAATGCAACTGTGTGTATCTGCATGTCATGACCGTTTAATCCAGAGAAAAGCAGGTTTACGCTATCACTCAGCGGGCTGCACCTCAGGGCCACCGTAGTTAACAGACGCTTTTATTTTTAAATTCCTAATAGGTTCTGTTTTTAAACAGCAATAGTTAATAATTTTTTATCCAAATTGGGTCGAGTTGGTGTACTCTGTAAAATACAAGTGCTTTTATTATGTTGGATATTGCGTGTCTTATTTTAAAAGGCTGAGTTGGTTCTGTTTTAATTAGATTAATCCAGAATAATCAGTAATAAAGAACTGACTTCTCATTTTTCAATGACACAGTCTGATTTTATGAGCTTGATATTTACATAGTTCCTATGGAAAATGCAAAACTTTATTTTGAAATTTTCAGTAGCTTCTTTCATTAAATGGCCACTGCAGTCAATCTTCTGGTTGAGTTCTGGTGATATGGCTGAGCTTTATCCTGGAAAGATCTGATGTGTCAAATCCAAAGGTTTTCCTTTTTTGTGTCATTTTGGGGCTTTTATTTGCTTGCCAGTTTCAGCTCAATATGGTGAACCTTGATTTTACCTACTAAGTCACCGTGTTTTGTTTTTTTTAAAGAATTTTTTAGCACAAGTGACCTTTATTTGACAGTACTAAGGACAGAAAACAGGGTTACAAGAGAAGGAAGAGATATTCAGCAAAGGTCGGCAGGCAATGACTCAACCTGGGACAGCCAGCGTATGGGTCGTGTGCTCTATCTTAACGCAGCACCATCCCCCACTATGTTGTATTTAATGCAGAAAGCTGAACAACTGCATCGTAGATCTGGGTCCACCAGATCTGCAAGGGATGCTCACAGATCGGAGCTACAGCTGGATCTGACGGTGGTCTGATGCCACTCTAAACAGTCTGATGGCTGTCTGATGACTATGCAACGGACCAATGATGTTATTTCCTCATTGTTGTTAGCTGACAGGTCTCTGTGAATCCCAGTCAAACTGTCATTGTTCGCTTTTTTATTAAAGATTGTAAAACTTACTTCGATGCTGGTAAAGGCCGCCTCAATGCTTCCCCCCCGTCCTTGTCCTCGCTCCTGAGTGGCTGACAGCAGGGTACTCATGGCTTGCTCCCATTGGCCCATCCGGCAGTACACAGCTGATGCATTGTACAACACCTAGGAGAAAAACTCCAGTTCTATCATTTAAATCTGCATTTATTCTTGGTAAAAGCTCTACTATATGGTTTGAAGTACAGCAGCAAATATCGATGGCATGGTTTCTGGTCTAATATTTTCTTCCTGCTAAATGCCCTTTGTGGTTTAGAAACAAAAAAAGCTGAAAACCACAGGTCAAACCCTGCAAGGAAATCTGGCCTGCAAACACAAAATTAGAAAGTAGCATTCAAACTTCCACTGCATCCATCAGGACACCTGCAGCAAAAAAACAGTTATGAACCCCTTAGGGACCAGTTATGAACCAGTCTACACTGAAAAAGGGACAGGCGATGTGTTTTCTGCTTTTGCAACGGAATGTGGGAGCACTGCATCTCCTGGCAATCTGCCATCGAATGCTGAAAGTGTATGTTAGCACCATAAAGGACATAGCAGGTACTATATAGTAGACATGTTGGAAGCACAGACTGGGCATGAAGGTGAAGCTTCTGCAGTGACCATCACCCTCTTTGCTAGGAGAGGAATCTCTGATAAAGAAATGTGAAACTCTGCAGCATCAACTGCGATCACATTCTGGCTGCAGACACACTGGTCCATTGTCTGATGGTATCTGAACCACATGGTGTGTGAGGCAATCTGTTGTCTAACCAGATTTTCAAATGCGTGTGTGTGTGTGAGAGAGAGAGAGAGAGACCTGCCAGCTGTAGAGTTTGTATCTCAGTCCCAGCTGTCTGTAGTCAATAACGACGTTCTCTCTCATATGCTTCTGGGCCCAGATGCAGTCTGATAGAGCCTCCTCCAACCTGGACCAGAAACAAAGGAACTTTTTGATATAAACACACCTTTACAAAGCTCACGAAAACAAAATCACTCGGGTATTTTATCAATATGTTCGACAACCTGGTTGGTTTTAATGATATTAATTAATGCTTTCATGATTGTGGTTAATCAGAACCCTCAACCTGAACCTGTGGTGCCGAATAAGATCTACCAGTATGTAACTTGAGTCATCAAAGCCTTTTATTTGCATTATTTGCTAAAGTTCTGTCCCTGTTCCTCGATCCAGATGGTAGGTCTGACTTTTCCAGCATCATGGTTCCCACTAAGTTGTTCTGATTATATTCTGTTCTGGATAAATACTACCTAGAATTTGCTTTATCCGTAGTGAAGGTTTGTTCTCTATAGATTCCATCCTGAAAGGACAGAAGTTACATTGGGTTCTGATTCTGGAGTGTTATTAGCGGTATTAGGTTGAGTCAAAGTTTTCTGATTCAAACTTGGATCAGCTCGCTTTTAAATGCAGAACTTCTAGATTGTTAAGTAATGACTGATCTTATAGAATAAATTAAGGTTTTGGCCTAGAAGAACAAACAGGAGGAGTTGACTTAGAATTTAAATATTGGAGCATTTAATGACGGGGAATCAAACTATTGACGGGTTGGTGTTAAAACCCAGCTGTAGCTGATTAAAAAAATGTCAGTTTATCATAGATAATGATGAAAACTGATAATTTAACCTGTCCAGATAGTTTATTTAACTAATGTCTGAACAAATCAGACTAATTAAGTTTATTTGTCTCACCAGTTATTTTTTACACCCAGTTTTATTTTGTTTTCATTTCCTATCTCGTTTTAGGCAACTTCCCTACCTGGGTTCCTCCCTCCAGTCAGGATCTGCCACACCTTGATGTCATTTACCTGGAGTTTGTGATCCTCCTTCGTTTGTTGGCCTATTTATTTCTCAGTCATGCAGCTTCCCTTTGTTCGTTTGTCTTTGTCCTTTGAGTGAAGCTTTCCAGCCCTTTTGAATTTCAAATTAGCTTTGTTAGCAATATTTTGATCCTGCCTCTGTTTTTGCTACTTCTGCTTATTTTTTATTTTTGGTCTTTGACCCCAGTGTATTAAAAGAATCTTGAACTTTTCTCCACTGTGTCGGGTTTTGCATTTGAGTGCTCTGTTCCTGAGCCGTGCGACAAACAGTTATCAGGTAAACATTCAATTAATCAGTTTCAGTTTTTTATATTAAAAATAAACAAAATACATCAGTTTTGTTTATCATCTTTAATCCAACAAGCAGTCTATTTGGGTTCATTACTCTGAGCTTAGTCTGACCTGACAAATTATGAAATATCTATCTTGGAGGATCATACTGAAACCCTGACAGTTTGATTTCCAAACACTGTTCAGTTAATTCAGAAAAATCATGACTGAACAACGTGAGAAATTCTGCAGCCATATGAAGAAGAACAAACACGTGGAAGACGGGTCTGTTTTCCAAAATACAGCCAGAGCTCCACATTAAAAAAAACCTCCAAGCACACATTTTAGATTCTCTAAGTTTGTCTCATCACATCAAATCCAAAGAAAATCTGCAATGTAATATAATGTAAAGTTAATTAGTCCAAAATTAGGAGCAATATTTATGGTTATTTAGCGTGTTTTAAGAGAAAAATAAAGGGGTTATTTTTTCCAAGTCATTTCTTAAGTATGTTATTCATTCATTTATAAAACTCAAAGTTCCAAGATTGTCAGTTGAAAAATGTTTCAAAAAGCTAAATATTTATTTCCCATAAATGGAAAATATTTAACCAAATTAACATTTTGAAAGATTCCAACACTCTGCACGTCAGCTCATTTTCCACGCCAGATGTGAAAATTTATGTGAAATACTGTATATATATATATATATATATATGTCAGTATAACTGCAGACGTTTAGTGGAAGCTGGTCGTTAAATTAAGGTCTCTATTACTGAATGTTTGTTAGAACAAAGATAAAAGTTATTCAGTTTAGTGAGTAGAGTTATTCTGAATGTCTGTTATCCTGACTCTGAAACACGGCATGTGTTTTAAACTCACAGGACATCTCTGATGTCTCCAGGTCCTTTTATGCTGAGCTAATCATACAGATATTCAACCACTGTCTGTAGTTGTGGTGTTTCCAGCCTGAGGAGGCCTACCTGTCAACCTGCATCATCACGGCGGCTCTCTGGAAGAAGGCGACAGCAAGGCGCTCGTCCTTAGCGATGGTGAAGTCTAAAGACTGGACCGAACAGATGCAACAAGGTTAAGGTTTGATCAGGATTCAGGTCAGGTCTTTTATACTCTCCTCTGACCTTTGACCTGAGGGATCCTCTGCAGTCAGAGGAGCTGAACTGTTAGCTCCAGGTGTAACAATGCACATAAATGTTTAGCTGGTTCTGCTCCTTCTCAGTCATGATCTCTGATTTAACAGCGACTCTTAGTAACCTGTGCTGCCTGGAACATGGAGGTGCTTTTTTTACTACGATGCTGCTAAACAGCCACCTCAGTTTCTGCTCCTCCATGTAGCTCAGCCATGAGCTGTATAAAATGCAACCTTGAATGATTAGTTAATCTTGAATGAAATGCTGCTGGTACGAACCCTCAGAGCCAAGTCCAGCTGTCCTAGTGCCAGGTGAACCATGGCGGCGTTGAACAGAGTCCGAGAGGTCGGCTCAGAGATCTGTTCCAGCTTTGCCAGAGCTCCTTCCCAGTCCTTGGAGTCCACTGCCTGCACAGACTCGTTCCAGAGCCGCAGCAACTCGTTGTAAAGCATCGTGGTCTGCAGAGACTGGAGCACAGAGACACATTTATATGAATCCTCAGGCTTATTAAAGGTTTAGTTTGATGTGGCATCCATTTAAACACTATGCGTTTTTAAAAGATAATTCAATCACAACTTCTCTAAAAAATATTTGTGTCACTAAGCTTCTAATGCCTCCCAAATTTCATAACTATGACCCTAATAGGAGGTAGAATACAATAGGCATAGAATGCAGCTCTGGAATTACATAGGATCTAATGAAGTTTACTAGATAGAATATAGTTTAAATGCTTAATATTGGAATCAGCCATGGCAAGAACAAAGAGGACTGAATGACTCACAGAATCACACCAATTCAATCTATATCATCTAGAGCAGGGGCCACCAAACTTTTTAAGAATGAGGGCTACCTTATGGGTAGCCAGTGCTAAACTTCATACAAAATAAAAATATTTTTATAGTTTCTTTTGATTTCTAATTTACTTTCAGATACTATCATTTTGAAATCTTTATAAATAATTAAATCTCTGACTGTGACTAACTGGATGTGCACTTTTAGTCCTCTGACATGGAAGCTGGCTCGGACCTCGTATGCCTGGCCGTATCTTTCCTAGACGGGGCCGTCTGTGGAGCTGGTTTACAAGTTATTTTTGTATCTCTGCTTCTTTCTGTAGGTCTGCTTCTGTCTCCTTGAACCCCAGTCGCCCTCAGCAGATGGCTGCTCACTCTGAGCCTGGTTCTGCTGGAGGTTACTTCCTGTTAAAATGAGTTTTTCCTCTCCACTGTCGCTACAAGCATGCATAGTGTGAGGTATTGCCTTCGAGTCAATGAGTAGATAAAATCAACTGGTTTTCCTTAGATACAAAAATTAAATCAATTCGACTGTATGATCTGGTTGAATTGTATCTTTGAATTGCCTTAAGATTACATGTGCTGTTAATTGGCGCTATAGAAATAAAACGAATTGAATTAAATCCTCTTTATGACTGATATGATAAAATGCTCTTTAAATGATTAAAACAATAGAAGCAACAGAAGAAAATAACATTTCAAACTTAGCCCACTGGTGAGTTGTTCTGTCATCAGAAGACCCTGAGGGATTGGTGACACCTGATCTAGAGGGACCTTACAGAGACAGCTCAGGCAGATCATTCAATGAGATTGGTAAAACCTTTTCTGTTTCAAGGAAATCCAGCGTATTGCAACTAGAAAATGTTTAATTGATTCTGCAGCAATCCCTCAAACTCAGCGTGCAGCTAGTGACAGTGGAGAGGAGAGACGCCCTTTTAACAGGAAGAAACCCCCAGCAGAAACAGAACCGGGCTAGTTGTGAGAGGCCGTCTGTGCCAATGTTGCCTCAGGGTTCAGTGATAAAGAAGCAGGCCTGCAACAGATACGTAGAGGCACTGCTCCATAAATACTTTCTGTCTTAGAGAAAAGTAGAAGGTTAGTAGCTCTTCTATGTCTAGGAGACAAAGACTGTTAAACAGATGAGCTCTGAGCCAGTATTCGGCTCTAGATGATAAATGAGAGCAGATCCATTAGTCCCAGTAAAAGCTCAGCCAACAGCTGCAGGGGAGAGACAGAGAGATGAAACCAGGTCGTTCATCTAGAGATGGAGGATATGAGCTTTCTGACTGCTGTCAAACCACCAGTGTTTAACTGTACGAGCAATACCGTCACATCATCACTCACGCTACGAGGACCGCCAACCTGTCAGTCGATAGATCCGTTTATTTGCCACCATCTTTATTCGGTAACACTGTGATTACTTATGAACACAGCATTGAGAATCACCTGCTAAGTTTTTTTTTTTTATTTCTAATTTAGAAGCAAAATATTTATGAAACATTGTTTAATAAAATGTTTCTTTTTCCTTTCTGCTTTTTTAACCAGAGGGCCGCTAGTTTGACCCCAGCTCCATTCACTGTCATGTCCTTGGGCAAGGCACTTCCTCCACATTGCCTCCTGTTGGTGTTCAGAGGACATGGTGGTTGCTGTGCGCAGCAACTGCTTGGCTTCTGCTGTACCCACGTGCTTACATGCACTTCATGACCTGACTGAAATGTGCAGGATTAACAAAG